TTACATACAATTTTTGGCATTTAGGAGGAATCATACCTCTCATCTTTTTGAAAACGGGTCTCAATGATCCATACTTTTTTAAGTGAAACAATGATGACCTTTATCAGGGTATTTATTTCCTTCTTTATAACCGCCCATAGAGATGTTTGATTTTCTGTATATTAATCCTTTTATCATTCACCATAGATTTACCATTATTGTTATCCACTGAATACATCCTATTTAAGGAATATCGGCTGATTGAAGCTGGCCATACACAATGCAATTTCCTTCACCAACTTATATGATGATGATGAATCACAAAGAAGGTAATAACATTCATAATGTTATATTCCCTTTCTAGAAGCCATTTAAACTATTGGATTCAAGCTTGTTGTTTTAGATGCAGACAAATGCTTTAAGTGACTCTTCTCAGATTCTTTATTCACTGCATATTTATTCTCCAGGAGTCTCATTACTCATTTTCCATCATTCCACATTGATGAATATATGAAGGAAGTACACAGACACTTCCAAGATAGAAGAGAATAAATAAGAAATCTAAATTGTGAAGATTCACTCAACTTGAATACAACCACTTTGGACTTCCCAAACTCTTTAACAGAAGATTTTCTTTCAAGTACCCATTATGGTTCTTTCAGCCATTTACACCGATGCAGCTAAGTGAAAACGCAGAACACTTCTTTTGTGTTTTGTTTTTATTCACTGATTTTATTTTTATGATTGACAGTGTGTACACCATGCTTCCAATGCCAAACCTTTTCATGATCTATTTGATCTAAATAAAACTATTTGCAACCATTACTTATGGTGATAATTTACTCCGCATGCGATACATAATATATGAATACCCCCTTCCCCCCACCAGGTAATGACAGAAAACCCCCTCCTCCCTCCAGTTAATGACAGATGACCCTCCTCCCCCCCACCAGGTAATGACAGATGCCTCCCCTTTCCCCATCAGGTAATTACAGATGACCACCCCCTACCCCCCCGCCAGGAATTGACAGAAGACCACCTGTCCCCCACCAGGTAATGACAGATGACCCCCCTTTCCCCCACCAGGTAGTGACAGAAGACCCCCTTTTTCCCACCAGATAGTGGCAGATGACCCCCTCCCCCCACAATGTAATCACAGATGACCCCCCCCACCATGTAATAACAGAAGATCCCTTTTCCCCCATCATGTAATGACAAATGACAACCCTCCCCCCACCTGGGAATGACAGATGACCCCCTTTTCCTAGTAATGACACATGCCCCCCAGGGAATGATTGATTCTACCATTTCCCCCGCGTGTGTTTTTTTGTGCACGGATCCTACCAGTGTCTTACCTCCTCAATGACAGAGGTCCCGGCTCCTGGACAGTGCTGCCCTCTTCTCACCTTGCACAGGTCTGTGACAGCTCAGTGTCTATCCCCACCTAGTTGTCAGCACTGACACTTTCCTGTCTTGGGCTGGCCTCACCTGTCTTCCCTCTGTTACTCCCCAGCTCTCATTCAAATTCTTGTGGGGATCTCCTGACTGCTGACATCGCACTCTGATCCGGATCCCGGTTCAGTAACAGGAAAAGCACACAGGCCCCCTGGAGCATGGGCGGGGTCACAATTGTGACCCCTGATGATAAGAACAATAAAGTTTAAAAAAATAAAGTTTTGAAAAAATAGAGAATTTGTTTTGATTTTTTTTCTACCAACTTGCTGTCCGCCAACAATGTGCGGGTGAGTGGCAGCTCTGGGCAAAGCCATATAATCTTACGTCACTTTCTATTGTAGATCACAAGCTTAATAATGGCATGTAATGCTAAGCTGCGGTTTCTAAAGCGAGCAAAATCCTCTCTTGTATTAAAAGACATATAGACTCCAGAGAGAGAGATATCATTTTTGGGCACCAATTCACAAAAAGAACATTGAGGAACTGGAGAAAGTACAGAGAAGGGCAACCAAACTGATAAGAGGCATGGAGGAGAGATCAGCTATGAGGAAAGATTAGAGGAACTGAATTTATTCTCTCTTGTGAAGAGCAGATTAAGGGGGGATATGATCAACATGTATAAATACATCAGTGGTTCATATAGTGAACTTGGTGTAGAGCTATTCACCCTGAGGTCATCACAGAGGACAAGGGGCCACTCTTTACGTCTGGAGGAAAAAAGATTTAATCTCCAAACATGGAAAGGGTTCTTCACAGTGAGAGCTGTGAAAATGTGGAATAGACTCCCTCAAGAGTTGGTTCTGGCCAGCTCAGAGGATTGCTTTAAAAAAGGCCTGGATTCCTTCTTAGATACACAGAATATAACTGGATACTAACATTTATAGGTAAAGTTGATCCAGGGAATATCTGATTACCTCTCAGGGGATCAGGGAGGAATTTTTTTCCCTGCAGGAGCAAATTGGATCATGCTTTGCTGGGATTTTTTTCCTTCCTCTGGATCAACTGTGGCTATAGGATTATAACTTTTTTTTTTTTTTAATGGTTGAACTGGATGGACTTTTGTCTTTTTTCAGCCAGACTAACTATGTAACTATTTACGAGTGTGCATGCACCCCCTCCTGCCCCCTATGCTGTCCAGGGAGAGCAGAACGAACATGGAGTAAAAGCACTACAATTTACACACACATTAGATTAGCACATTTAACGCTTTGATTGTCCCTATTAACCCCCTTTGATCACGCCACCACCCAGCCAGTGCCATTAGTACAGTGTCAGTATACAGAATTTTTTACTGATCACTGCATTCCTGCCACTAGTGACATCAGATAAAGTCAGGGTCAGTTAGCTTCCTTCCCAGCCAGGGTCAACTAGCGTTAGAATTCCCACACACTATCGCACTCACCATATAGGTCGCTGATCACCGCCATTACTAGTATAGTGTTTGTACAGATCAATATATTGATCACGAACAGAACTATACTAGTGCCTCCTTTGTATAATGTCCCCAAAAAATGCAGTGTTAGCAGGATCGGCCCCGTCCACTGTCAGCACTAGCAATTAGCCCCTCTGCTGTTTTTCAAAGAAGATTTTTATGAATTGATTGTGGGCCAAAGCAATTTATAAGCACAACAATACATGCCCCCCCCCCCACATTTAGCTCTTGCCAGACAATTTGCATGAAAATCTATCACAGCTTCCAAATGTAAAACTTGTTTGGGCCTAACCCTCAACATGGACATTACAAATATTGGTCCACAGACCCGATTCATCATATGCCCATGTTCTCTGCTGTTACATACAGTTAGGTCCATGTATATTTGGACACAGGCACAAGTTTAGTTTTTTTTCAGGTATGTACCAAAATATATTCAAGATATAGTTGTATAATGGATATGGGTTGAAAGTGCGCACTCTCGGGTTTAATTTGAGGGTATGGATATCCAAATAGGAGGAAGGGTTTAGGAATTACAGCTCTTAAGATTAACCATCCCCCCTTTTTCAAGGGACCAAAAAGTAATTGGAAAAATTAATATAATCATAAATAAAATATTAATTTTTAATATTTTGTTGAGAATCCTTTACTGGCAATGACTGCCTGAAGTTTGGAACCCATGGACATTACTAAAGACTGGGTTTCCTCCTTCCTTATGCTTTGCCAGCCTCTAACTGCAGCTGTCTTCAGTTGTCCTTTGTTTGTGGGTCTTTCTTCCTTTAGTTTTGCCTTCAGCAACTGAAATGCATGCTCAATTGGGTTGAGATCAGGTGATTGACTTGGCCATTGCAGAATATTCCACTTCTTATCCTTCAAAAGCTCCTGGGTTGCTTTTGCAGTGTGTTTTGGATCATTGTCCATGTGTACTGTGAAGCGCCGTCCAATCAACTTTGCTGCATTTGGCTTAATCTGGGCTGACAGTATGTCTGTCAGGGCTCCGGGGTGTGACCAGAGGTATGTGACTGACGCAGGGAAACGCAGACTTCAGATATGTTATAAATATAATTTATTAACACTAACAATACAAACATAAACGCAGTGCAATACTAAAACATAACACAGTGAAAACAAACCAAACCAACCACCCACAGATGACAGTACATACAATACAAGCGTCGTCAGGCAGGCCGGGTCAATATCAATCGGGCAGGTAGGTACAGGGGGGAGCAAGCGGAGAATGGTCGGGGTCACAAGCCAGGTTCAGCAGGTAGCGGGCAGCGTGGTACAGAGGGTCAGGCAGAGGAGAATGGTCAGACAAGCCAGGGATCAGGAGCAGGAGAATGGTCAGACAAAGCCAGGGATCAGAGCAGGGTCAGCAACGAATCAGACAGGAACAGGAACAGGGAGCAGGAACAGGAACAGGGAGCAGGAACAGGATACAGGGCCCAGGAGAAACACACACCAAGGCAGAGTCTGCAGGTCTGGCCATCCCTTAAATACACCAGTATAATCAGTTCCAGGTGTTTGACTGGCTGCAAGGTTGAGTCTCTGATTGCTGGGAGCAGCCGCTGGCCAGCCCTGGTACTGCAGCGCATAAGGCAGGTGAGTCCCACCATTGCTGGCCAGTCCATTCCTGACAGTACCCCCCCCTCAAGGAGCGGCCTCAGGATGCTCCCAACAGTCCTAGCTGGGCAAAATGTTCCACCGCCCGGGTCTGGTAACTGGCGGGATATCAAAGACTGGCACACCGGGCAGGACTCCGGACAGGACAGCAGGACTCCGGCAGCGGCACACCGGGCAGGACTCCGGGCAGCGGCACACCGGGCAGGGGGCACATCGGGCAGGGGCACACCGGGCAGAGGCACATCGGGCTGGACTCCGGGCAGAGGCACATCGGGCTGGACTCCGGGCAGAGGCACATCGGGCTGGACTCCGGGCAGAGGCATATCGGGCTGGACTCCGGGCAGAGGCACATCGGGCTGGACTCCGGGCAGAGGCACATCGGGCTGGACTCCGGGCAGGGGCACACCGGGCAGGGGCACACCGGGCAGAGGCACATCGGGCAGAGGCACATCGGGCTGCACTCCGGGCAGAGGCACATCGGGCTGGACTCCGGGCAGAGGCACATCGGGCTGGACTCCGGGCAGAGGCACATCGGGCTGGACTCCGGGCAGAGGCACATCGGGCTGGACTCCGGGCTGAGGCACATCGGATTACCAGGCGAAGCAGCAGGCACCGGGCCATCAGGCGGAGCAGCAGGCACCGGGCCCCCGGGCAGGGCGACAGGCACCGGGCCCCCAGGCGGGGCGACAGGCATCGGGCCCCCAGGCAGAGCGACAGGTCTCAGGCCCCCAGGCGGAGCGGCGGGCGCCGGACCCCCAGGCGGAGCGGTGGGCACCGGACCCCCAGGCGGAGCGACAGGTCTCGGGCCCCCAGGCGGAGCGGCGGGCACCGAGTCACCAGGCACGACAGAGGGCTCCGAGTCAACTGGCATGACCGCTGGCACTGGGTCAGACATTTGGATCATCTGGCTGGACAGCGGGCATCGGGTCACCAGGCATCAGGTCATTTGGCTCGACAGCGGGCACCGCGTCATCTGGCAAGGCAGTGGGCTCCGAGTCAACTGGTATGACCGCGGGCACTGGGTCAGACATTGGATTGTCTGGCTGGACAGCGGGCATCGGGTCACCAGGCATCAGGTCATTTGGCTCAACTGCAGCTCATAAGGCAGGTAAGTCCCACCATTGCTGGCCAGTCCATTCCTGACAGTACCCCCCCCCCCTCAAGGAGCGGCCTCAGGGTCTGGTAACTGGCGGGATATCAAAGACTGGCACACCGGGCAGGACTCCGGGCAGCGGCACACCGGGCAGGACTCCGGGCAGCGGCACACCGGGCAGAGGCACATCGGGCAGAGGCACACCGGGCAGGGGCACATCGGGCAGAGGCACACCGGGCAGAGGCACATCGTGCTGGACTCCGGGCAGAGGCACATCGGGCTGGACTCCGGGCAGAGGCACATCGGGCTGGACTCCGGGCAGAGGCACATCGGGCAGAGGCACTCCGGGCAGAGGCACATCGGGCTGGACTCCGGGCAGAGGCACATCGGGCTGGACTCCGGGCAGAGGGCACATCGGGCTGGTCTCCGGGCAGAGGCACATCGGGCTGGACTCCGGGCAGAGGCACATCGGGCTGGACTCCAGGCAGAGGCACATCGGATTACCAGGCGAAGCAGCAGGCACCGGGCCATCAGGCGGAGCAGCAGGCACCGGGCCCCCGGGCGGGGCGACAGGCACCGGGCCCCCAGGCGAGGCGACAGGCATCGGGCCCCCAGGCATCGGGCCCCCAGGCGGAGCGACAGGTCTCAGGCCCCCAGGCGGAGCGGCGGGCGCCGGACCCCCAGGCGGAGCGGCGGGCGCCGGACCCCCAGGCGGAGCGACAGGTCTCGGGCCCCCAGGTGGAGCGGCGGGCACCGAGTCACCAGGCACGACAGAGGGCTCCGAGTCAACTGGCATGACCGCTGGCACTGGGTCAGACATTGGATCGTCTGGCTGGACAGCGGGCATCGGGTCACCAGGCATCAGTTCATTTGGCTCGACAGCGGGCACCGCGTCATCTGGCAAGGCAGTGGGCTCCGAGTCAACTGGTATGACCGCGGGCACTGGGTCAGACATTGGATCGTCTGGCTGGACAGCGGGCATCGGGTCACCAGGCATCAGGTCATTTGGCTCAACAGCGGGCACCGCGTCATCTGGCAAGACAGTGGGCACCAAGTCACCAGGCACGACAGTGGGCTCTGAGTCAATTGGCACGACAGCGGGCACCGGGTCATCAGGTACCGGATTGTCTGGCTCGACAGCGGGCATCGGGTCATCAGGTATGACAGCGGGCACTGGGTCACCAGGCATCAGGTCATTTGGCTCGCCAGCGGGCACCGCGTCATTTGGCAAGGCAGTGGGCACCGGGTCACCAGGCATTGGATCGTCTGGCTCGACAGCGGGCATCGGGTCACCAGGTATGACAGCGGGCACTGGGTCACCAGGCATCAGGTCATTTGGCTCGCCAGCGGGCACCGCGTCATCTGGCAAGGCAGTGGGCTCCGAGTCAACTGGTATGACCACGGGCACTGGGTAGACATTGGATCGTCTGGCTGGACAGCGGGCATCGGGTCACCAGGCATCAGGTCATTTGGCTCAACAGCGGGCACCGCGTCATCTGGCAAGACAGTGGGCACCAAGTCACCAGGCACGACAGTGGGCTCTGAGTCAATTGGCACGACAGCGGGCACCGGATCAGGTACCGGATCATCTGGATCAACAGCGGGCATCGAGTCAACTGGCCTAATAGGATCATCAGGCTGGATCAGTTCATCATGCTGGGTAGAGGCATCAGGCTGAGTGGAGGCATCAGGCTGAGTAGAGGCATCAGGCTGAAGACAGGCATCAGGCTGGGTACAGGCATCAGGCTGGGTACAGGCATCAGGCTGGGTACAGGCCTCAGGCTGAAGTGCGGGTGCCGAGGCACCAGGCTGAACCACGGAAGGCAGGTTCTCAGACGGCAGGCTCACCGGTTTGGATACTGGCAGGATGGTACTGGTTGGAAAGAATTTTCGCTTTTTTCTGGTTTTAACTAGTACACCTCCCTGTACGCGAGCGCCGGGACTTGGCCGACCGCGGCAATCAGGTTCGCGCATGCGCAGTAGTGACCGCGGGCGCGCGCCTGGCACCAATGACAGCGCAGGGCGGGATATTTAAACGGCCCTGAGCTGTCATTCAGTGCCTTTTGGTCTTTTGTATCCTGTGAACCTGTGAACCTGTCTGAAGTAAGTTGCTGACCCGGATTGTGCCCTGACCTTGCTGTTTTCTCCTGTTTTGACCCTTGCTTGCCTGACCTCTCTCCTGTATGCCCCCTATTGGATCTGACCTGCTGTTGCTGACCTGGCGTGTGACCCGACTATTCTCTGCCGCTGCTCTGTACCGCACCGTCCCCATAGTTACCGACCCGGCTTGTATGACCCTGCTCCTGCTCAGCCATCCATCCATCCATCCATCCCGTCTCTCTACGGGGTCTCCAGACCTCCTCATACCTGGCTCTCTCCCGTGGGAGCCCCTGGCGAATACCCCTACCACTGACGGGTGTCCTCAGTAGTCACGACCTGGTCCTGGGGTACTCCAAGTCCATCCCCACCATCAGGGGCCCTGGTGAACAAGTACCCTGGGGCTTAGACTCCGTGCGCTGGGAACATCCGACCAGTGGAGTGCTAGTGGTACCGCCGGGCGGTCCCTTACAGTACCAAAAGGCCATGACTGAGCCTAGAGGAGGGCCCTCCCCGTTAGAGGAAATTTGCAGGCACCTAGCTACTTTGACGCAGGCCGTAACGGTCCTGCAGGACAGATGCATGCAGCTGGAGAATCGCATCCAGACTGGCTCTATTTCTGATCCTGCCCCACAGGCCCCGTTCTGCACCCCCGGCCCTGGTAGCTCAGGAGCCAGCCTCAGGGGCTTCCGCCCCGCTCCCTATGGTAGAACCCCGAGTACCCCTACCGGAGCGTTTTCACGGGGACCGCACACGCTTCCGGTCATTCCGCGACTCCTGTCTCTTGTTCTTTGAGCTACAACCCCGTACCTTCCTGACCGAAAACGTGAAGGTAGGATTCATTATTTCACTACTACAGGGTGAACCCCAGGATTGGGCCCACCGGCTAAGGGGAAACAATGATCCTCACCTGGGATCGGTCAATAGTTTCTTTGAAGCAATGGCCATCTTGTATGATGACCCACAGCGGGCAGCCTCTGCCGAAGCGACCTTATATGCGCTCCGACAGGGCCGGCGGGCGGCAGAGGAATACGCCTCTGATTTCAGGCGGTGGATGGGGGACACACGCTGGAATGAGTTCGCTCTATTGCACCAGTTCCGTATGGGACTCTCCGATCCCTTGAAAGATGAGCTGGCCCGGGTGGAGGTTCCCGAGTCTCTAGAAGACCTTATTGCCCTGACAATTAAGATTGACCGAAGACTGCGGGAACGCAGGCTTGAGAGGTCCGGCCAGGGTCGCGGAAATACCTGGGGTCCATTCCTAGGCCCCAGCCCACCAACCCGACAAAGCATCCAGAACCCACCACCAGGAGATGTTCCGGAACCTATGCAGCTAGGTCTGGCACGGCCTAAATTATCACCGGAGGAACGCCAGCGCAGACGAGCCCAGAACCTCTGCCTTTACTGCGGTGAAGCTGGTCATATGGTGCGATCCTGCCCTCAAAAAATGAGTAAGTGCACCCGTTTTTCTTTGTCCTTGTCTATTAGCAATACCTGTCCTTCGCAATACTTAGTAGTGCCCCTCTCCTTTCAGCTTCCAGGAAAGATCGTGGAGGTGACAGCCATAGTTGATTCGGGGGCATGCAGCTGTTTCCTGGATCTAGAGTTTGCTCACCAACAGGGTATCCCTCTCCAACACAGACAGAAGGGCTTCAACATCTTTTTGGCTGATGGTTCCCAGATAAAATCGGGGGTAGTTAATCAGGAAACTCCCCCCATTGCCACTATCATTGCCAACCAGCACCAGGAGTTCCTCCGCCTGGACGCTATTGCATCACCTCTTTTCCCAGTCATTCTGGGGCTCCCATGGTTACGGGCCCATAACCCCCAGATTGACTGGGAGACCGGGTCAATCTCGTTCCCTTCCCCATACTGTCGGGAACATTGTCGCACTTCGGGCCCCGCGGGGCCCCGAGTTCTCCTTTGCTCCGAAGGAGACTCCGACTTGAAACAGGTTATTCCCGCAGCCTATCATGGGTTCCTGGATGTGTTCAGTAAGCGGGGAGCCGACACTCTGCTCTGCCCCCCCACCGCCCGTATGACTGTCCAATCGACCTGTTACCAGGCTCTGAAATCCCTTTTGGGCGTATTTTCCCCCTATCTGAGCTTGAATTGGGGGCCCTGAAGGAATATATCGAGGACAGCCTCCAGAAGGGATTCATCCGCCCCTCCACTTCTCCAGCAGGAGCGGGAATCTTCTTCGTGGAGAAAAAAGACAAAACCCTGAGACCTTGTATTGACTACCGGGAGCTGAACAGGGTCACGATAAAAAATCGTTACCCATTGCCATTGGTACCAGAACTGTTTCAGAGCCTAAAGGCTGCGGTATTTTCACAAAGCTTGATTTAAGGGGGGCCTATAACCTGGTACGCATAAGAGAGGGGGACGAGTGGAAAACTGCTTTCCGTACCCGGTTTGGCCACTTTGAATACTTGGTCATGCCATTTGGGCTGTGCAATGCACCAGCCACCTTCCAACACTTTGTGAACGACATCTTCAGGGATTTTTTGGATGTCTTCGTTATCGTCTACTTGGACGACATACTAATTTTTTCACCCTCTCTAGAGGATCATAGGATACATGTGGCAAAAGTTTTGGGGCGATTGCGGCAGCATGGGTTATATGCTAAGGCGGAGAAATGTTGCTTTGAGCAATCTAGCATCACGTTTCTAGGCCTGATTATCTCCACTGCGGGGGTCGCGATGGACCCCCAGAAGGTCTCTGCAATTTTAGATTGGCCTGAACCCACGGACAAAAAAGGTGTCCAACGGTTTATAGGGTTCGCGAACTTTTATCGGAAGTTCATCAAAAAACTTCTCGGGTCTGGTCTCCCCCATTACCCAACTAACCAAACTTGGAACCCGGTTCAAATGGACACCAGAGGCTCAAAAAGCTTTCGAAGCTCTGAAAAAGCTGTTTACCTCGGCACCCATCCTGGGCCACCCGGACGCGGCCCTGCCCTACATCTTGGAGGTAGATGCATCGGAGAATGCGGTAGGATCCATCCTGTCTCAGCGGAAAGGCACCAAAGAGTTACTCCATCCCGTAGCATTCTTCTCGAGGAAACTCACCCCAGCAGAGAAGAATTACGATATCGGGGATCGAGAGCTGCTGGCTATCAAAGCAGCGCTAGAAGAATGGAGATACCTGCTGGAAGGTGCCTCACACCCTATATTGATTTTCACAGACCACAAGAATCTGGAATATCTGAGGACTGCCAAGCGTCTACGCCCACGGCAGGCAAGATGGGCCCTGTTCTTTTCCAGATTCAATTTTCATATTACTTACAGGCCCGGATCTAAAAATACGAAGCCTGACGCGCTATCTCGTATGTTTGAGGACTCCGAAGAAGAACTGGTACCCGACACTATCTTGTCCTCAGGGAACTTCTTGGCGCTCCAGACGGACCTTCGCTCCAAGTTAATAGAAGCATCTACGGCCACACCAACCCCAGTTGGGGTATCCCTCCAGAACAAAGGGGGACTCCTGTGGAAGGAGGATTCTATCATGGTACCTGAGGAAGTCCGGACCCTGGTTTTGGGGCATTGCCACGATCACCCGCTGGCGGGTCACTTTGGCCCAGTCAAGACTCTGGAGCTTCTCCGGCGCTCGTTTTGGTGGCCAAACATGGCTAAGGATTGCAAGCGCTACGTGAGATCCTGTACCATC